ACACGCTGGAAGATCGCCGGTTCCATTCCCGATGAAGTTATTGTATTTTTTCAATTGACCACATCCTTCCAGCCGCTCTATTTCTCTGGGATCGACTCAGCCTCTAACAGAAATGAGTACCAGGAATCTTCCTTGGAGTAAAGGGCGGCCGGCGCTTAAGACTGACAACCTGAATGCCACCTGTGAGGCGATTGTCTAGAAAATGTGGGAGCTTCGATGTCTCACAATTCTATGGGCCTTCATGGCCTTTTACAGTGATTGCTTCTTCTTTAATATTCGACTCTGTGTAATCTGTTGTTCTGATACATGCTAATCAGAACGAAATTAATGAAAACAGATACACGGCATCTTGCCACAGAGGACTGTAATTTTATTTCTTGCTACGGAATAACCAGAAATCGCACTTAACATATGGAATTTTCAATTCCCATTTTCTCTAAACTTACGATGCCTTATGAAACCTCTCTAAAGCCGACANAGCTCCTGATTTGTATTATGGAGATTCCTGGTTCGGATCTTGGCTAGAACTTCACGTTTCCATGGTCTTTCTCAGCCCCTTAAGGCCAGTTCCGGGATATTAGATTGCCATAAATTAGTCCGTGACCTCTTCCTTCCCCATAATTCCCATTTCAGTTATTCATCAGCCCTGTCCTACCAAGTCTTACCGTGGGGGTACCTGAAAGTTAAATGTAGTTGAGCAGAAGAATCCACAGTATTTTCTTCAAATGACCTTCAAACATCAGCTGGTTTAATAATAAAAGCCCGTTTTCTTCCTCTGAATATCTGTATATCACACCTGATGCCATCTATCGAGAGAGTTATGTACTGTTTGATTAAGAACGAGCCGATATCTTCGAATGTAGCAGTTTGATTGGAAGTATCCCGAGCCGATATAGTCGGTACTTGCGTGTTAAGGGTTAATCATTCTACCATTCGATGCTATATAAAACCTGCGTTACTGAAACGTCGATTAATAACCCGTACGCAAATAAAATAAAAATTCATTTTGAACGTTATCCCCGTACTACTCTCTAGTCTATCTTAAAACATATTGAAAGTTCAGCACCGCATAGTTACCTTTATTCTGTCACGCAGTATGAGTGACTATAGACGGGGTTTGGATTGATGAATGGGTTTACTGGCCGCATATACACACGACTTGGAACTGCAAACAATTACAACGCTATCACTGATCTACAAACTTCAGAAATCACAAGAGAACACGCAAAGCCTGAGTCGTTTATAGTCTTTCCTATTCGTTGCTTGGTAACAGGTCTCAACAATGGAGATTCTTTAGCTTCTATGATCACGCCGTTGCCCGCTAGCTAATACTATTCACAACTGAACTCATAGCTCCAACTTTCCTAGTTATTACGTCTCGGCACGGACCAAATAGAAAACATCGTGGTTCCAACAGTAAAGGCGGGTTTACATTAAGGCAACCATTGGCAACCGCCTCACGCGGCGCGATTGTATGCTGCAAGTTGCTCACTTGCACGAATGGGTAACGCAATCGCATGCGGCTTTCGTCCCGCGTCCTCTAGTTGCTTCAGGCCGCAAGGTTATCCATCGCTAGTGGGTTCAGTTGCCTATTCGCATGCGGCGTGATGAGTTGGGACACGGATAAAGCCAAGGGTCTTATCGAAGAATACCGCGAAAAGAGCATTCTGTGGGATTTGCGGGATCCCAATTATAAAGACAATCGGAAGAAGTCGAAGCTATGGGAGGAATTAGCCACGAAGTTTGAATGTTCGGTGAAGGAAGCAAAAGAAAAGGGTAAAAACCTCAGAACGACCTTCCACACGTATAGAAAGAAGAAGAGCGGATCTCTGACGTTTTCTTCTCTTGCTCAGAATGAGATAAGCCGCAGCAGCAACTGTCTGCAGTGACATCTCTACACGAGCTGACGTAAAAATTGAAGCAACCAGTCGGTCGCATGCGGCAACGGTTGCTCCTGGCCGCATGCTGCTTGATAAATTGGACGGCGAACATAGTCGGCCGATGAGGGCAACTAGGTTGCTTTAAGTTTACCCAGTGTAAACACGCCTTAACTCTATTGTTGCGTGCATGTTCGTTGCAGCAGGAACGTGTTTACAGAGCCGTTGCCCAGAAACTGTCGCCGCTTGACAACGCGTCTGTACGCCACAACACTTTAAGCTGAACAGTTACACTTGTATGTGGTATTTAACATCCAAACCTGTAAGGTATGAGACACAAAGACGTGCCCTGGGTGCTGCTTAGAGGCAGAGAACAATTTCTTTTTATATTTCGTTAATCAGTTTTCAATATAATACAATCGTAATGATATTGAGTTTGGTTATTTTAACAGAGTATACCGATAAAGCGCTGCAAGCGTAGATTGCAGATAGTATTAATTATGCCGGTAGAAGAACCTACCAGTAATGGTCTCTCTTTCGTCAGCTGTCGTGTTTTTCATAAATTACGCATAATTAGAAGAGTCTCTTGAAGCATATATTTAGTATTTTTCTTTTAATATTGGGCATCATAATTGAATTATGAACATGCGTAGCAACTACCAAGTAGTTCTCCATAAAAAGTGTTTTGAACAATAGTCATAAGTAACAATCACATATATTTCATGTTGCATACGAATATTTGTACCGTAAGTTGTTTACTGATAGTCTTTGATCTATAGTCTTTGATCTAAGTTTCATGAAGAAATGGGGTTTATGGATCAAAATTTCATTTGTTAGAGAAAATATATTATAGGACCTGAATGCCGTATTCAATTGAAATCTGTCGACCAATTTTTTTTTGCAGACGGATCATACTGACCGGCAGAGAAACCGACCTGTCTGTTATTCTTGAATTTTTGTAAACTTTCTATAGTGAATGCTTCCTGATATGGACAGGCGGTTTTAACAAAGCAGTGGGAGAGAACATAGGGTAAATTCCGTATACTTCTTTGTAATCCTGGACTATAACTTGACCCACATCACAAAGTGCAGGGTACGTAAGCGAACTACTGTTCACCACGGCAAAACCGGAGGCAAGCGCAAGAAACATTTGGGACGTCAGCATGTAAGAGAACGGCCCATCCATCAACGTCTTCCACAATAGGCTCTTCTCATTTGTCCTTTTATGAAGTTGTCCGCCCCGTCATGTCTTCATTTTTTATTATTCAGACACTGCTCTAATGCGAAATAAATAACTTGAAAATTTTGTCCATTTCTTTTTACTCTGCAGGGCAGGAAAAAAAAGTTGAAATATATACTAGAATAAAACCCGCTGAAAGTTCTATGGAAAATTGGTTCTGTTATCAGCACCATACTCGATCACACTTGTTTCACTGTGATCTACTTATATATTATAGCACTAGGACACTTGGAAGTAATGATTTCGTTAAATATGCGAGCAATGAGCTTGAAATTTTCTGAAAAGATAGCTGTGTCATATTAATATTGGAACTTTCCACGTCTTTTGTTGTTATCCTCTGCTGTCAGCGTACATGCAACCGTCAAGTGGCGCCTCCATGAAATTTCACGTGAACTCGTAGCGACTGGCTCGACGCGGACGTTACATTACTTTATATATATAGGGATGGTGCGCATACTTGCAGCCTCGCAGCCTATTTTCTGGCTCCTGTGCGATGCTAAGTTTTGAAACAGAACTGCTTCCTAGTTTGGATTACTCTTTGACCATGAAGATGGAGCCAATATGTTAATCAGAAAAGTTTGTTGTTTGTTACCAGACTACACAGTGTTACATCTCATAATTCAGTACTCTTAATTATAATGTAACCACGGAATTTGCCATTATAATTTAATAAGACAGTATCAGAATTGTTTTTTGTCTACATTAACAGACAACTCATATATAAAGAAGGTTTCATGGATTGGTAATATAAACGTCATTGCTTAAATTCGTTTAGTATCATGCATCTGATTATTGGAATGTATCGGAATATGTTTAGGTGTGCATTTGGCATTTTGTATGATGGATGAGAGAATTTAGTCTATACGTTTGACATTACATCGTTGAATAAAATGCCAACTAGATGACGTCAGGCTTCGATTTGCAGATATTGCACACTAATTCGCTCCTTCACTTTTATATGGCTAAGGTGAGCACAATTTCAGTGTATAGAATTATGTTGTGTACGTATAAACATTGCTGTTTGAACGATAGCAATTAAATTTGTCTTAATATTAATTGAACAAAGGCTGAGGCGTGTTAACTTGCGCATGTTCTAATGATGTAAACTTAAAATGAATGTCACTATATAGCATGTCTATAACTGGTTTCATTCCACATAAATTGAAAGCAATCAAAAAGAGTTTCGATGTGCCAGTTCTCTTTCCTAAAAAAATATTTACGTAATTTTGATGATCTGTTTTATGGCGGCCATTCCACGGTAACTCCTGACGACTCTGATCAGGATGTAGTGATAATTAAGCGTGAGATTTAGTAAGTTTCTTGGTGATGTCGTCTAGTTCTGTGAACAGAATATAACGTTGCGAAAGCTGGATCTGTTTCCTTCTTCAAGGAAATGGTGGGAGTTTCCTACGCATTTGAGTGCCTTAAAAGATTTCGTGTCTGTCATTTGTCCACTAGTTCACTGGAAAAGATAGTGCCCCTGCTTCTCATCCTGTGGACCTCGAATTCAGACCAAGGCAAGAGATCATCTATCCTGTCGAAGCATTACCGTCAATCTGTATCCTCTCCAGGCAGATGTTGGGATAGTACTCCAAATTAGGCTACAGCAGAGCCCTACCATGTTCTTTCCCTTTCCTTTTTTTGGTTTATTTTACTACGCTTGTATTATCTAGACTGCAGCGTCCAGTGATAAGAAGTGATGATAAATTTATTGGAGAGGACTTGGAAGGAAGCGATCGTAGCTTTACCACCGTTTTATAAAGAGATTTTCTTACTACACGGCGTTATAGTCGTATAAGTTAGACCTATAGTTACAAACGTGCAGGTGTTACTGATTTGTCGCCCCCTTTGCTGACTATAGTTACTCTATTGTTGTTTTGCAGGTTACGAGTGGGTGGGCTGGAGGAATGACACGGTTGGTATGGCGGGGCACCCAGTGGAAATTGTCTTCGAGTTCGACCGTGTCCGGAATTTCTCCGCAATGTATCTCCACACTAACAACTTGTTTAGCAAGGACGTTCAGGTGAGTGACGCCTTGTTCTGCTGCTGGAAAGTACGTTCAGGTGAGTGAGGCCGTGTTCTGCTGGAAAGTACGTTCAGGTGAGTGACGCCATTTTCTACTGGAAAGTACGTTCAGTTGAGTGACACCTTGTTCTGCTGCCGGAAAGTACGTTCAGGTGAGTGACGCCGTTTTCTACTGGAAAGTACGTTCAATTGAGTGACACCTTGTTCTGCTGCCGGAAAGTACGTTCAGGTGAGTGACGCCGTTTTCTACTGGAAAGTACGTTCAATTGAGTGACACCTTGTTCTGCTGCCGGAAAGTACGTTCAGGTGAGTGACGCCGTTTTCTACTGGAAAGTACGTTCAATTGAGTGACACCTTGTTCTGCTGCCGGAAAGTACGTTCAGGTGAGTGACGCCGTTTTCTACTGGAAAGTACGTTCAATTGAGTGACACCTTGTTCTGCTGCCGGAAAGTACGTTCAGGTGAGTGACGCCGTTTTCTACTGGAAAGTACGTTCAATTGAGTGACACCTTGTTCTGCTGCCGGAAAGTACGTTCAGGTGAGTGACGCCGTTTTCTACTGGAAAGTACGTTCAATTGAGTGACACCTTGTTCTGCTGCCGGAAAGTACGTTCAGGTGAGTGACGCCGTTTTCTACTGGAAAGTACGTTCAATTGAGTGACACCTTGTTCTGCTGCCGGAAAGTACGTTCAGGTGAGTGACGCCGTTTTCTACTGGAAAGTACGTTCAATTGAGTGACACCTTGTCCTGCTGCTGGAAAATACGTTCAGGTAAGTGAGGCCATGTTCTACTGGAAAGTACATTCAGATGAGTGAGGCTGTGTTATACTGGAAAGTACGTTCAGGTGAGTGAGGCCGTGTTCTATAGAAAGTACGTTCAGATGAGTGAGGCTGTGTTATACTGGAAAGTACGTTCAGGTGAGTGAGGCCGTGTTCTATAGAAAGTTAGTTCATGTGAGTGAGGCCGTGTTCTACTGGAAAGTACGTTCAGGTAGTGACGCTGTGTTCTATTGAAAGCAGGTTCATATGAGTGAGGCCGTGTTCTACTAGAAGGTACGACCAGGTGAGCGATACCATGTTTTATAAAAAATGTATAACATGCATTTTGCCACAGCCATGAATGATTGTTATTGAGGCAAAGGTATTTTTGGCTAGAAAACAGATAAAGTATGCTTATCTGATTTTTCTCATGTACCCTGTAACTATTTGATTCGGGAACTTGAAATGTCATTGAAAGGCTGTTATATTAGGCCATTTTGAAAGTACAGAGAAGCTTGATCTTATGATTGTGGTACATATAAATATGAAAGCAGGAGACTGCTTCTAAACGTCGGTATACACGCTAGTTAGTTAGTTAGAGAGGGTGGGTTTCCCCATGCACCGCGACCAGTTTGATTTATTGTGCTTCCCTCTATGATATTCTACCAGTCTCTATATCCTACCGGTACTGGTGCTTACCATCAGCCCAGCCCTGCCAGCGAGACCGGTTCTACTAGCTGAGAGGTATCTATAATGCTTCCCCCATCTACCAGAGGTATTAGAGACTGCTGTTGGGCGGGAAACGTCCGGAATTTGGCTCAGTGACCTCCTTTGGAGATATGAGGTTCTTTTACGTGCCGTAAAGCTACGACACGGGACACACGGCTTAAAGTCCCTCCCGGAGGACTTGTTCCCTGAAATTTTCCGCCCTTAAAAATTCGACGACCACCGCCGGGTACTTGAACCCGCGTACTACGAGTCATGAGGTGGGAACGTTACCTCTAGGTATACATGCTGACTCAGACAATAATAGTTTGAATTTTATGCCATGAAAACCGCGAACCTTCGTCCAGGTCTAATATGGCGCCAATAGAGATTTAACTTTCAGAATACTACATCTAACAGTGAAGATTTCTGTCTTGTGAGATATGACGTCATATAGATGGTTAAAAGGTCAGCCGACGTTTCGGAGGAATATTCGCCGTATATTCATGGTCGAAGAATAAACCAAAGAATAAACCACGACGAAAAAGGCAACAAGCAGAGTGGGTTGACTTTTAACGGTCTACAAGTCGCTATAGCCCACGAGATAAAACCCTTCATAACCACCGCTATAGGAACCTGAGTATTTCACGGCTCTTCAAAAATACAAGCGTGCTTATTTAAAACCAGGAAGAGACTAGAATGAAAATGGCCGCACTTACTTAAGGCTAGTGGCAAATATGTATTACAGAATCAATCTGGATACGTATTTGTCAGGCCTGAATTTCCAAGCAACACCACTGAATTTATTTTACATATTTCCAAATTCTGACGAGAGTGAGTGATCTGATTGCCTTGCGGGTTGTGAGATCATGTAGTTTCGTAGATGGATACCGACGTTTCGGAGGTATGTACTGCCTGAAGGTGAAGGAAGGAGGTTCCTTCAGAACCACGATATCCGCCTACAACCCAGACGACCACAGCCTGAACATTGGGTTTCTTATTTATAGTTTTAATGAAGCCTCTAACGAGCTCTGGAGACGGGCCGTTGCTCATGGGAGTACTAAGTTTCTGAACTTTGCTTCCACACCTTTTCACCTCCGGTTGAAAACAAATCCAGTTCGTGAAACACTGTGTTGTTTCTAAGAATACTAGACTATAAATAAAGTCCATAAACTCAGTAATTATAACGAGTACTAACTTCTTGGAAATAACACCGTGTAGTCCGTAGGGAGGCAACGGACATTTCGGAGGAATATACCACATCCATCTTCAGCTTCGACTAAGCCGAGCAAGATGCCAGCGTCAAAGCAAGTGGGTTTAGAAGGCTTGCTATTATTTTCCACGCTAGTATCTTGCGCGGCTTATTTGACCCTGAAAACGGAGGCGTTATTTCCCTCCGAAACGTCGGCTGACTCAAAGGACTACACGGAGTTATATGCAAGGAGATAGAAATCTTCAGAAGCACCGCTGTGAGAATCTCATATCTTCAATAATTATAGTTATCTAATTTTATTAAAGCCTCTTATTTTTTTATCGCTAGTGGGGTGAGACTAAGTCCCTTGTACTGCGGCCACTTCTGGCCTATTGTACCAGCCCCAGATGATAGGTGAGGGGGATTGTGGAGGAATTGGTGGAATGAAGATTGGCAGGGGAAACCGAAGTACTCGGAGAAAACCCGCCCCATCGCCACTTTGTCCACCCCAAATCCCACTTGAGCAGACCCGGGATCGAACCCGGGCCGCCGCGGTGGGAAGCCAGCGACTATCCGCTTGAGCTATGGCGCGGCCCTAAAGCCTGTTAGTATAATTCAATAATAGAAGTTCAGGCTGTGGTAACGGGTAACTTCATCTTGTTCTTCAGTACCACGTCATGAAGATGTGGTGGGAAGTTAAGTATATGAGTAGTTGCACGTATTATTAACCTGGTTACTAGATGGAGGTCAGTGGTTAGTTTGACGCTATGGCCGCTTTATCCCGCCGAAAGGGCCCCTAGAACCCATCAGATTTGAGGCTTTGTGGACCTCAGAAGCAGTTGGGACGCGATGGCGAAGAGAAAATCCTCTTCCCCTGCCGGAAACAAACTCTAGCTAGTAGGCCAGCTACTATACTGACAGAACAATCACAGACCTTATTTCAGAATCTGAGGAATACAAAACCTTAATAAGCAATAAAAGCAAGACAGAGTTATTAAACTACAGACCAAAAATTTCGTATTGTAACTTGAGTTCTGTGCTGAAATGAAATGTTTGTAAAGATTTTAGCTTCTGGTGTGTGAAGCTGTGCAATATGATAACGTCTACAGATGTTTTGGAGCTTCATCTTATATCCATCTTGCGGGGAGATAAGGCAAACGTTGGAACGGGGAAAGGAGAGTGAAGGTCGTCATTGGAGCCCGAAGCGAACCAATCGGAGTGAGGAGAAGGGCGGCAGAACAAGAGGCCTCTGTAAGGGCCGTTTCCCAGGGTACAGAGATGGGAGAAGTACTGCTCTAGATGTCCGGTAGCTGTTATATGGAGGTCAGAAGGGACAGTGTAAGGAAACATGGTTCTTAAAGGGCCTATTGAAGTGCAGAGTGAGGAGGAGGAAAGACAGAAAGACTAACAGGACCTAAAGGTGGAAGGGGTGGAGAAGGGGAAGATTAAGGAGGGAATATTTTTTGTAAATGTTTTATATATAACAGATGACTCTGTCCGAAGGCTGTACATCGAATGAACACCCAGCAACACGCATTCTAATGGAACACGGCCTTTAACATGAAGTTAATAAAAATAAACGATGCGTATTATTGTTATGCTCTGTGATATTTGTATCCACAGGGCGGAGTCTTCTCAGACCTTTATGCTAATTTGTACCATGCACAAAACGAACTTGAAATGTCCGTCATATATATGCATAACTATGCTGTATGTAGAGTTATGCTGAGCTGTGAGTGGGAAGTATAAAACGGCCTACGCCCTTCGAGGAACACATAACTGCTAGTAATTTATTACACCCTTAGTGATGCAAGCAGTAATTGTTTGTAGCCCGTATTGCCTCCAGAAAGTGACAAAATCCGCAAAAGTATATCATAACAGGGCGGACACACACATATCACAGTCTGTTTATGATGCTTCATAACAATGAGCTGTGCGTATATTGATTAGCCTTTGAATACTGAAAGAGAGAGAGAAAGACAAGAGAAGTGACTGGGAGAGCAGTGAGAGAGACAGAGAGAACAGAAAAGCTGCAGATTTGAAGGTCCCCAGACAGTGCCCGTTTGTCCTTTTGGTAAATATTATTTATAAGTGAAGAGAACTTTGTTATGTGTAGAGTAAAGAATTTAACGTTGGTTTCGCTGTGTTCGATCGGAATTGTGGGTATCATTGGGTGGGTTGCATTATGGCGGAAGTTTAATGTTAACTATAGTAGGGCTGAATGTGACGTATGCAGTGCTATGTGGAATTTGATTTACATTTTTTTTTAATTCGCTTAGTGGGGGGTGGAGTCCAACTGGGTCCACTCGGCACGGCGGCCACTGATTGGCCTATTGTAGCCTGTCCCGGGCGATTATGATGATGGAGAATTTGTTGGAATGAAAATTGGCAGGGGAAACTGAAGTACTCCGAGAAAACCGGCCCCAGCGTCACTTTGTCCACCACAAATCCCACTTATTGACATTTACCCCAGAACTGAGAAATACGACGGAAAACGTTGATATAGATGGCTGGTCGCAGGGCTTACCAGATGCAAACTGACATCCAGTCAACAGTCCGGTATTTAAATGCACGGGCTCTAACGTTAGTCCCTATCTGTGCTCTCGCTCCATTTTGAAACTTGTATTATTTTATACAGAGGTTTGTTTCGTATGTATACTTTGGAAGAATAATGGACAACTTTGGGTGAAATAAGGAGGCTTTCTTGCTGTGTTTTTTAAATCTTTTTGTCACAAGTATTCGTAACATTCGTAAGTAACCTTCAACAATTTTACATTCTTTTTATCACTTGTAATCACTGACCTTCTGCCTGGTACTCTCCGTTTCTGTAGGCTCTAAATTTGGTCCAACATAAGGAATGTGAAACCTACAGATAATATTTCATAATTCAGTTCCTACATCTTAGAAAAACAGCGAGTGTCAATTACAGGTACCAATAGATTAATGTTTAGGTAATCAATTGCTGTTTATTCTGAGAATCATATGAAACTCATAAATGTATTGGACAAAATGCACACTAGCATGCAGTACACATACTTACCATTGTACTTTACAGGGGCAAGGAAGGTTGTAGTTTAATAAATACTTTCGTTTCAATAGTATGTATGTAATAGGTGGACTCACCTGCATCTAATTCCGAGGTTAAGAATAATAGAGCGTACCTCCATTTCCCCATATGTCTTTATGGAGTGGTGCCTAATTAATTAAGCAGGAGAAACATTGACGGAGTTAGGTTAGACTATCAGTCATGCCTAGTAAAGTACACAGATGTCACATTTGAAAGATGAAATCTGTTAATTTACACGCCGTCTAGTTATTTCATACACTAACTGAATTTCGCAATCAAAATGCGTAATCTATACTTTAATCAGATATACCGTAGAATAACTAATTGAGAGTAGTGATGTGTAGAATGAAGTTACGGTTNCAGTTATTTTAAATTCTAACTGCCCTCAGATACTTCATAGGATAATTAGGTATCCTATGAGCTATTCCTTATCAAATCTATGGGTATTCTGTAAGATTAATGAATTACACACCTTAATGACAACATAAACACGTCTATTTAACAGTCAGCTCTTCTGGCTTTCGACAACTTTCATATTGTTGGATCTTACAATATCGTAGCGACGACGATGAAGATAAGATGTGACGCCCTGTAGTCTGGTAGAAACTCATCGACGTTTCGAAGAAACATAGGACCTGCTTCATTAAGGTCGATGAGCAAGCCAAGCAGCCTTTAAGAAACAGTAAATTTAATTTCGGGATTTATTATTTGCGTTTATCCCAGAGAGTGTAATTCATCAGTCTTCACACTGTGGTCTTCTGGATTCTGAACTCTGCTGATAGGTAAAGTAGCAACGCTTGGGAGGGGGTTCACGCCATAGTTCAAGCGGTTAGTCGCTAGCTTCCCGCCGCGGCGGCCCGGGTTCGATCCCGGGTATGGTCAAGTGGAATTTGTGGTGGACAAAGTGGCGCTGGGGTGTCCACATACAAAAATACATGATGTCATTACACAGAAGACCACAATATGAAATTCTACTGACGTCAAGACTTCAAACCTCATATATTACTGTTGTCCTCTGCTGGGAGAAGCCTTGCGACGGGCCGATCCCCGTCCAGGGACTTCTTCCTAATGATGTGCATCTAACAGTATTCTGAAACTCGGCGTACAGAAGACATTGATCCGCACTGGTCTCTTTGTATCGTGTAAGAGGAAGAAGCGCTGTATGGCTTCCATAAGGCAGCGCCAATATTTAATTTATTAGAGAGGTGTTAGAAGTGCCTAGACGAAAGGTAAAAGCCAGAATAGAGAAAACAATATTGCTGTGAGGTGCGTGATGCCTATCCATTGTAGCACTCGTGTCGAATAATACAGCAGTGAACTTGTTATGCTGGTAGAACACGCAACGTGATGTAAGTGAGATAGAAAGAAATTGATCTGTAGCTTGGGACAGCAGAGTTTTCATGGAGTCTGCTCTAAATATATTGTGGCATATTCTATCAAAGCAAGAATTGTCGAGTTGCAACAGTCGGCCGTTATTAGGCAGCAGCCCTTAAGAGAACAGAGGAACTGTGTTTTCTGTATGGTCCGTGTCATAGCTGTCACGCAACAATTGAATATGAAGAAAGCAGTCTTCTGGGATTTGGCACCGTGTAGATGTGGACTGTGTACAGTCTGCTTTTACCGTTTCTCACGGTCTCATCGCTTGCAGATTTCTTATATTTTTTCTTCTACCCTGAAGATGGAGACGATACGTTCCTCCGAAACGTCGGTTAACACCACATATACACGGTGCCAAATCCCAGAAGACTGCTTTCTTCATAGTCACCGCCGTGAAAGCCTCAAATCTTACAACAATTGAATACTTCATGCCACCGCTAAGCAACATTTGCGCTGCAACAGAGGAACGGTGTTTTGTACGCGGTCCGTGCCGAGATGTTATAAGCAGGACAGGTTAAGGGCTGGAGTTAGATAACCGCTGCGGTATAGTAGTAGTGAGCTGTTGCTGTTAGAGTCCGGTAGTTGAGGCCGCGGACATTTCGGGAACCCAGAGGAAGGGGAACGCCCGCCTTTCGAATCCGCTACCGAACAACGTCTAGTGAAGACTATAATATGTATTAAGCTCAAACGGTTATTCTCTGGCTTCCCACCGCGGTGGCTCGGCTTCCATCCCAGGTCTGGTCAAGCGGTATTTGTGGTGGACAAAGTGGCACTGAGGCAGGTTTCCTCCGGGTACTTCGGTTTCCCCTGCCAATCTTCATTCCACCAATTGCTCCACAATCACCCTCACCTATCATCTGGGGCTAGTACAATAGGCCAGAAGTGGCCGCAGTACAAGAGACTTAGTCCCACCCCACTAGCAATAGGAAAAATAATATGTATTATCCTCTTGGGTCTTTGCATCTTGTGTCTGTGGGCGGTATGACCAACATTTCGGTTATATAGAATGTCCCAGGAGAAAGGTCGGTATTCTGGGAGGCCATAGTATCTGTCATTCTAAGCAGAAATTGTACATGTACGTGTGTCCTATTCCGAACTGTTTCCGAGACAGAACTATTTCACTGTGTTCCAAAATTGTTGATAAGAGAGAGATATTACGCACTGTTTCCAATACCTGTACTTATTGTTCAAGTGACAAAGTTCGTACATTTTACCTAATATAATACATTTTTTAAAATTCTGCCGTCAACATCAGTGCACTTTGCAACTCGTGTGAGGACATGCCGTGTTGCTCTACAGTGTACAAGGTACAGTGTACTGTACAGTGAAATAGCTCTATCTCGGTGCAGCTCGTGTGAGGACATGGCGTGTTGCTCATCTGTACAGTGTACAGTACACTGTAAAGTGAAATAGCTCTGTCTCGGTGCAACTCGTGTGAGGACATGGCGTTTGCTCATCTGTACAGTGTACAGTGCACTGTAAAGTGAAATAGCTCTGTCTCGGTGCAGCTCGTGTGAGGACATGGCGTGTTGCTCATCTGTACAGTGTACAGTGCACTGTACAGTGAAATAGCTCTATCTCTGAAACCGTTCGGAGTAGGACACATGTACATATACACTTCTTTATTGCTTAGAATGGCCGACACTATGACCTCCCAGAATATCGACTTTTCCTCCTGGGGCATTCTGTATATGCTGCCTGGTTTCCTGTTATATTATGGTTTCTCTTGTCCACATTGGCGCTAAGCAGTTCCCGTTTATTAAAGTACATTTCCCATCCTATAAAGGATGGTTTATATTTAATCAGCTTCCCGTCTCGGAAACGTTTTACTTTAAATACATTCAGTAAAACAAAACAGGCCGAAGAATCTTAGGTAGCAGTACTGCTGCAGAGAATCATTGAGTTCTAATTTCTGGGTTCGATTCCTTGTGCTGACACATTATGTTTTAGCGGTAACATTTGAGGTTCTGACCGCGGTGAATATGAAGTTCATGGTCTTCTGGAATGTGACGCCGTGTAGCTTTATAGCGAAATAACAACCTATCAGGTTATCTGCTCCCTTAAAAAAGATGTAAGTATTAGTGTTGTCCATCACATTGATACCAGTCTACCAATCTACACTGAGTCATATCTTAGAAGACTGATAGTTTGTTAATATTCAGTTGTTACATGTGAGGTGTTCACTGCTTTGAATATGATCACTCACAGTTTTCTTGGATGTGGCGTGTAGGAAGTACTTCGTATCCCCATCTTCAGGGTAGAATAATATCCTGAAGATGGAGGCTGTTTCTTCCTCCGAAACTTTAGTAGCTACCTCCCATGCTGTACGGGGTCACATAATCTTGTAATGTTCTACTTATCGTGGTGCAGTCATTATCATTGCTGCTTTATATTGTTCAGGTGTTCTCACATGCCAAGGCGCACTTCAGCATTGGCGGCCATCAGTTCTTCGGGGAGCCGGTTCTCTTCTCCTACATGCCTGACGTCATCATGGAGCACGCTCGAAATGTGACTATCAAGCTGCATAACCGTGTGGGCCGGTACTTGAGACTGCAGCTGTACTTCGCAGCCAAATGGATAATGATCAGCGAAGTCTCCTTTGATAGTGGTGAGTTCGAGCACATCGTAAATATATGAATGTTCGCTGTATGAAGATTAAATTATATGATATCAGGCTTAAAACTGAATACACCACGAAATTCAGCGGGGGTCCTATGCAATAAATCACTGGAACGATCCTGTTCCGTATGGATCGGGCCGATTTGACGCGAGGAGCTTCCGGCTCCACTGAGCACACTCGAGTATAGTCATACTGGAGTTCGTACTCTCACTGCGGTGACTGTGTACGGTCTTCTGGGTTGTAATGCCGTGTAATTGCATTGTGACATGACGTCTGAAAGAAGGAACAGTGGAGCCAGAGGAGACGACTATTGCTAGACAACAGATAGGTAAACACCCCTACAACAATACATGTATTGCTGTAAACGGTGTCTTCTATTAGGTCCGCACAAAATCATTATAACGAAGTGTTCATTTGAGAATAGGAAGTCGAGTTCGGTGTTCCAAGTGAGCAGTTAGTTGAGTGTTGGGCTCTGCAAGGGAGGCTGAGGAGATGGTGCTTCAGTTACCATGCAGCCATGGTTGTGAACGTCACTGTCTGCTCGGATGTGACGCCATGTTGTCTGGTGAATATTTACCGACGTTTCGGAGAAACGTGCTGTCTCCATCTCCAGGGTAGAACTGGTCCAAATAGGGAGATAGTTCTGTAGGTACAGCGAGAAGTAGTACTGACTGCTGTTGACTTGTTCAGGGTCATGGCCTCAGTACTGTCTCTAAATCTGCATCACTTTCGCCATGCTTGACTCATTCTTTCACTCTGAAGATGGAAGCAGCACGCTTCTTAGAAACGCCGTCACATTCCAGAAGACAGTAATTTTCAGTTGCATCTTAGTTTGGATGGAACTGACTTGCTAAGTATTTTGGATCGGTATTGTTGATTAGTAGTTCCTTGGTACGTTTGATTATCCATTATGAAATGTTTATAAGTTTTGTATTGTCAAACTTCATGACAGTTTTAGAATGCGAATGATGTATTTACATCAAAATATATTTTTTTTTCACAAAGGGGTTTTGTGATCATTCTACCACTGACGGAAATGAACCTTCGGGTTTCGTAAGATGTTAGGAATTTCTTGAGTAGCTGCGCAACTGGCGGCTTCTCGAAAAGGGCTCAATTCTATGGAGTTAGTTAGTTTCTTAGTTACGGGTTTTCTGAAAAGCAAATTAGTTATTGATTTCATATATTTTGCAGTGTCTGTATTTTTGCTGAAGAGTTCTTAATAATGTAAAATCCTAACATAAAGATAGGCAGTAGTTCCTCTTAAAATATGACAGATATAAGATATCTGTGAGGGACAATAACAAATCAAATTCTGATTCATAAGAAAATTAAGACAAGATTAAATCTGGGAAATTCTTGCCACTATTCAGTTCACAGTCTTCTTGCATATCCAGAAATATAAAACATACAGAACTGGTTTTGCATATTGTTATCTCACATTATTAACCTCACAACTGGCACTCCTCGCCAAATGTCATTAGAATGATCAAGTCAATGAGGATAAGATTGACAGGTCATGTAACACGGATGGGAGAGGAGTGCTTTCAAGGTTTCAGTAAGAAACCCCGAAAAAGAAAGAACCTTGAAATCCTAGACGTAGATGGGAGGATAATATTAAAATTAATCTTGAAGAAGAAGAATTGAGAGCTGGTAACTGGATTCATCTGGCTCAGGATTGAAATCAGAAGCGGTTGTGAACACGGAAATTAATAATCTAGTTCCATAAATTTCTGGGAATTTCTAAAGTGGCCGAACAAGTAGTTGCTTCTCAAGAAAACTCAGCCCTGTGGAGTTAGCTCCTAATAATTACGAGTTGAAGATTTTATGCTGCTTCTAGGACTGGAAAGTGTGTGATAGTTCTATAGGTATATACTACAAACTCTGTATTTGAAACATACAAATCGAATTCTGAACTATACGTGTAAACCAACATATCATGTTGGCATTTATGATGAACTGAATACCTATTGACAACTGTATTATACATATATGATTGAGCGCTAGGCATTTACTTGCCAATTCGTATTTCCGTATTCGCCTAAGTTCACAACTGTATAAATATTTACAAATTAATATATGTCGTTTTCACTAATTGAACCCGTTGTTAACATTGCCTTAAAACGTTTGTGAAATATTGTATCAGATTTATTTCAAATTATTCGTCACTTTCACACACTTTATCATTTTGAGCGCCAATTATTTCGTTTTCCAAATTAGTTTATTGCACATGTCGTTATTCGAAAATACAATTTCCGCTAGAAGACAAAACGAGCAATGTATAATATTTTAACACTGGATCACTAATTATACTGAATATTCTCAGCTACAGAATAACAATTTAGTTAAACGCCCATGCAGCAGTATCCTTCTTTAGGAGCTAATGTTTCCTCGCGTACTCGGGAGATTCTACGCCTTGTATGAAACCCGAAATTTCATTGCCTTTTTCACAATGGTTCGTATTCTGAGCCATCCCAATTCAGTCCACACACCCCAGTCCTTTTACTTCAACATCCATTGCTAGCCTACTTTATTTTGAAAAAATAAAATTATGCTTATGAGATCACCCTGCTCCTTGTCTGTGCCTTTCCATCTGTCTGTTTATCCTCCATAATTTTTCAGGATTATGAGATCACTTTTCTCTCTCTATATCCGTCTATGGCTTTGTGTCTATCCATCTACGTGTGTATCCCCTAATTTTGTAGGCTTATTAGCCTTACGAAATCACCCTGCTCTGTCCCCCACCCCAAATTTGTTGTTTTTTTATGCGGTCCGTGTCGTATCAAAGGAAAGTAGGCGATTAGTTCTTCCCAGAACTTCTTGTAATATTATCCTACAATATACGCATCTCTTTTAGGGTTTATGATTAAAATTTTGTATGCAATTCTCATCAAGAGTAGAGAAAGTAAACTTTATGTGATTCGTCAATAAGTATGATTTTGTCGTCCCTTATCCTTTAAACTTTGTACTGTTAACACCTGCCATAAAACTGTCATCAAATAAAGAGGTGCTTAAGGCAAGCAGTTTCAGGATTTATATGCTTGAAGTCTGTGAATGCCAGTTGTTTATAACCCTTCGTGCTTTGCCCGGTTTGGATCATTAAGCCAGTGACTTCGCTTATTATAATGTTGTCGTTAACCTTGTGTAACGTGTTGTCGACATATAAAGGGTACTAATGTGTCCCCTACTTTGAAATTAACTTCTCCGTGGAGCCATGTCCTTCTTAAGAGGCTAGTAGTTGCTAAGCTGCTTAAGTTCCCAGAATTTCATGGAAATATTCATAGCCATATTAAAAAAATTCAGTTCACACCCTCCCATCTTATTAAGATAAATTTTAATATAATTCTCTTGCCTACGCCTAGGTCTTCCTAGCTGTGTCTTTACTTCGGGGTTTTCTACCAAAATTTTATGTGCATTTATCGTCCCTCTCATTTATGATACATGCCCTGTTCATCTAATAATTTAGTTGATCGTTGTAATAATAAATAAATTAAACAGCTTACTAATTGTCACACATGTAAACGTTTAACATGGGGTTCGTATCCTGCTGCCTATGTTACTACCCACGGGTTTGAATTCTGATCTCCACCCGGCGTAATTTGGTTCTGGCTCAATATTATTTAAAATTAAATGGTAAATATCTTGCCTTACCAGTTATATACTTGCTGAGTTTACTGGCTGCCAGAGTAAACAATAATTACAGTTCTGAATGTGTATCTGGTGCCTGCTGATACCAAACAGAAATCTATGATGAGTGAGGAAGTAGTAACGGGCGCCTGTTTCGATATTTGTATTAGTATTATCACGTGTTCGTGTGACTTCTAAGACAGTTGTCTTATCAAGAACTCGCGTCTACCGGTTCGTTACCTAGCAATGGATGTGTAACAGTTCCACTGCGATGCAACGTATTTAAAGGAAATTAACTTTATTAATTTGAAATTTTTAATTGTTCACAATGAGATGCAATGAACAAGTGTAGTGAGACATAGGTCCATTCTTGTGTGTAAGAGTTGGCGTCTTTCCACGCTTACAGCAGAAACAGGGAGATACCCCGTCGCGGGTTTCTTAGAAAAATTACGTGAAAGAATAACTAAACAATTCTTTTGTGAATTCAATATTTGGCAGCTTGTGCATGCCACAAGGGTTTATAGCCGAAGCCACGCTTCTCATTTGTCAAGATTCTGACAGAAGTACGTTGGACCTCAGAAAACCTAAATGCCTTGTAAGCTTTAAACGGAGTGGAGGAACACCTAATTAAGATACTCCTATTTTTTAAATGTGACCAATCACTAAAATTTAAGGGTGTGACAGAGCAGAGACGCTGAGGGAACAAGGACTTGAAGGTCCGAAGAGAAATCAGTTGTCGAAGTCAGTCACTCACCGGGGCCCTTAGAAATCAGACGTAAAAGTTGTCGAAGGAGACAAACACCGGCACTCGTAAGAATCAGAATTAAAATCTCAAACTCCGGCCCTTGAGGAAATCAGATTTAAAAGTTACACGCCGGATCTCGGTTAAAAAAAAGTGGTGTGAATCTTGTAGAAACAAGAAGTAAAATATCCTGGTGTTAGTCACTTGTATAGTGTTAAGCAGTGACTAAACAAGTGTATAATAATAATAATAATAATAATAATAATAATAATAATAATAATACATCTGAACTTGAAATGTGCTTTTGTAGTTTGTGTTTAATTTCTTGCTTCTTTAAGATGTGGCCCGTTTAAAGCTATGAGCTAAGAGAACTCAGCTCTACCGAACCAAACACCTCACCTCTTCACAAATCAATTAACCCTGAGATAAATTTAATACAAGGGAGAAGATAATAATTCGGTAGAAACACGAACGTAGGTGATAAAAAGACTGTTAAAGATGCCCTTATATTTTTGAGAGCTTGTGTTGTGGGAGTGTGTTTACCGACCCGTTGCCTAGCAATGGGTATACACATTACAGTATTTATATGGAGGGACTGAGTTAAAGCCACGAAGAACATTTA